CTGTCCCTCGAGGCAGCTGAGTGATGTGGGGCGAGTGCGCGAAGGCTCCTGATGCGGCACTTGGACGCCGCAGGTAACGACCACCCCAAATCTCATCGCGAATTTACGCTAATCGATCGAAGCCCTAACACTTCCTAACCTCGTTTTATGGCGATCAAAGCAGACCGTGACCCAATTGAGGGAGATCTGCCATTAATTATGGCCGGTTTAATCTTCATCCATCCATTTGGGAGACGCAGGATGTTATAGGACGAGCGAACAACGGCATATGGTCCAGTTCATCTCAATGGCGCACCCGAACTCCACATCGCATTGAGAAGGAAATAAAAACGGCGATGACTCGGCAAACATTAAGGGGAAAACTCCGACGATAACTGCCTAGTTTCATATTCATGTGCGAGTTTCGCGCCGCTAAGGAGATAACGTACCGTTTCGAATAGCGCTACAGTACGAAGGACTCGAGATAACAATGCAAGATCCGTTAGACAGCCAGGACGCTCTGTGACGGCCAGAACGCACTGATACGGTTGACAGGCCCGAAAAGAGCACGGAGACGGCGTCCCAGCGCTATAAGGGGGTCGGACGACCCGTCCCTCTCGACATTCCTGAAATTTAACACCGCGCTCGCGACGTCCACGGAACAGGACATAACTTGCATTATACATCCTCTCGCAACCTCCGCTCCCCTGAGCCGTAAGCCGGCGGCACTGCTTCTGGATGGCCCGCTTTACTCCGGAATCCGACAGCGGAATCATGGCACGGAAACAGTCCAATGAGTCAGGCGGGGGTACGAGACGCCCCAATGGACCTTGATATACGACACGCGGGGTCCAATGCTCGACATGGTCAAAGGCCGTCTGAAAGACGACCAGCGAGAAAAGAGAAGAGACCGAGAGAGAGAGGGGGGGGGGGGGGGCATGTGACATGACCAGACCATATATATTTTAGATCGCTTTTTTGTCATTTTTGATTTTATTAGATTTCAGAAAGAGGTTTCAGTGCGTAAACAAAACTGAAGCGTTCATGAAGTTGTGAGATGGCCATGAGTCTAAATTGACCAGCCCTGGGCGAAAGCGAGGTTCATTATGACCCGTCAAGAGCACCCTAGGAATATCTGGGTCCCAAATGGCCGGAAACCCGCGATGGCCAACTCGCCTCTGCGTGGCCGCAGCTCCCAAAGTCCGGGAGGATTACAGGCCGGCAGGAAAATCCGACGAAACTAATGTAAACTAACTAATAAGATTGCACGTATGCTGGGTAAAGCATGTTTTGGATAAAAAAACCGGCTCCAACTCTCTCCTGAGACCTTCAGGCATGACTACAGGAACTACAGACGGTTCCCTCGCGTCGAAGGAGACGACCTCAGGCCGTCACCGGCGAAGACATGACATTCCCCAGACACGCCAGGCCGGCAGCCTCGCGAGGGGACCAGGCGCGAGGGGTGACCCGCTGATTCTTGGGACCTATCCAGGCCAATTGCTTCTCCTGCTGTCACTGGCTCCAGTCACACCTGTCCTTAAGTACGCGAGTGCCGTCTGGGGGGGGGGGGGGGGGGCACTCAGCCGAGGCCTGTTTCCGATGGAAAGGATGTAGCGCCGAACCCCAAAATCGGTACACCACACCTGGTGCCTGCCGTGCCCGGAATGGCCGCGAGTCCTGCGGCTGACATCCACTCTCTGCTTGGAGCCCTCTCCTGTGACGTCATTTCCCTTCACGTGCTCACTACTGACGAGCGGTCAACAGGCGCGAATTCCTTAACACACACTCTTGACGACATTTTAAAATTACCCGACCTTTGGGGAGAGCGGGGATAACATTTACACCCGCCATCTCATTAAGTACAAAACAAAACAAAACTTGCAGAACGCACAGCTGTTACAAAACATAGTGCGACAGCAGGCCACCAGGAGCCTTTTATATATGATATTGGTGACTACGCTTGTGTTGTCTGGGTCATGTCAGATTTGGACACCTCCTGACCTGAACAGTCAGGTGATAATATCACCCGTGCCTGACCGTCAACGCTATCGCCACGTTTCCTAACACAAATGCTACTTAGCCCCAGTAACTTATATGATTTTTAAACCCATTTTTCATTTTTAACGACGTGTCTGGTTTCCAATGAAAGGAAGACGAAGTCCATATGCTCGATATGCTCGTTTGGGTTATGTGTACCCTTGCAAACAACCGATGGGACCTGTTCCCTCCGCTTTCCAGGATGCACATTAAATCCCACCAACGCAGGATACGCACACCAAGCATTCGTGGTATTATGTAAGTCAACGGTTAATGGTGGTCATAACGGACAGCCGCTGACAATGAGTATAAAAACGAAAACACCTGAGAGGCACATAAAACTTTTCTAGCCGCTCCCAAGAGAATGTTACACAAAGTATCAGAAACACTGAAGGCGAGTTGCAACACGGCCGCACCATCCAATGATCCCGCCCCAGCAGATAACAAAGATAGTCCCGCTGACCGACGTGACAGCGGGACCATCTATCTTTGGACGGGACCCGAAGAGCCGTGATCTTCAGGTCCCGTCCGAGGGTGACACGTTTCGCGTCGTTGGAGGGACACAGATGCGCTGCACAACATGGGCAGCCAAGCTCCCAGGGCGCAGCTCTGGGAAAAACCGACTGCATGACAGCAACGACGACTGCAGAATGCACGAGACAATATCAGGTTTCAAGCTGTGGAAGCCAGATTGCAGTTTAGCCAGGAGACATGCACAACCAGAACCGCATTTGGCCCACAACGCCCTGGTCCTTAAGGTTGAGTGGGATTAGATCACCTGCTTATATCCAACGGGGATACTTGACAGAACATGAATGCCGTGGGACTAAAAATGGCAAAGCATACCACCAACGGCCTGCCCACCAACCGCCGCTGCTGGTGAGTGATCAGCTGGATATGATGATACGCACACTAATATATATATATATATATATATATATATATATATATATATATATATATATATATATACGAAGGATACAATGGTTAGAATCTGCTATTTTGCAACATTATGATGTTTTAAGCACTTGTCGACACAGACACCGCCATCACATCCAGTACACGTTGTTTATGCATATTTAGCCCTTTTCTGTTGATCGTTAGGTGAAGTATGTTCTTAAAAAACAGGTGACAGGAATACTCCGATGTCCGCTTACGAAAACTCTGATGTCCGATTACCACATACTCCGATGTCAGATTACAAAACGAGTTACTCAACTGCTCCTGTTTGGCTTTTTGCTTAACTACTTGCCTTTTCCGGTGTGGAAAGAACGGCTGCTAACAGACGTGATCATTATCATTATAGAGATGATACTGAATCGTAAGCCAATGGAGACAGCCATCTTGGGTAACCCATGTAACTAGATAAATTGAATTTATCGATGGACCGAAATATTCGACTTGCGTGAGTTTGGCAGACAGCAGTGCGTTGGTGTTACGCCCTAACATTAGACAAATGTATGATTAGAATATTGGCTGGCCCGCCAAAACCTGGCAATTTTAATCGAAGAGCCACGTGAATTTGGTTTGGAACAGTAAATCTTTTCGCCACCACGGCGTAAGATCTAAAAAGGCAACGCTAGTACCGTATATTGATATTAGCCAGGATGAGCTCAGCTGAGTGTCTATGTAATTCGCATGGCCCAATGTGGCGTTACTTAGGTCGCGGCTTGTCACATTTGAGGCCGGCTCCGAACAAGGCGTTATTGCCGACTTGCCGATCTATATCCGGCGCTGCGACACGCGGGATGACGTAGGGATCGTGCAGGGACGGCACGTTCCGCTTGCATGGCACAGCTGGTTTCATGTCACCCTCAGCCTGTTCTCGCTGACGATATCTGACGTATTTCTTAAATCGCCGGACAATGGCACGATAGATGGTTCGCACTCCATTAGAGGCGAGAGCCTGCAGTCTGCACACATTGACCCACCCTTTCCCAAAACGGCCGTCAGTTTTCCCTCTTGCCAGCATTCCTTGGTCACATGATCCAAAGTATTTGGATCTGTTTCCTACATATGACCTGATTTTTTTTTGCAATTCCCAATTTTTTGTTTCCCATGTTTATCAAATAAGGATGTGAGCAGTAGTGATGTAGCATCATTGCATGAACATGCTGCCATATCAAACATTCTACATTTCAGTAAATTGCAAATTTCACAACATATTTCCAAGAATTGTTCCACCAGATGCTGAAAATGTGAAAATAATGATGCAAACTGACCAGTGGTTCCCATGATGTATGCCTGTCAAAAGCATCACTTGCCAAGTAACCCAACCCAGGCTGCTGAGGCTACAATGTTTCTGATCAGCTCACACTGAGTCTCATCAGCCTACAAACTTACTCATACTAATAACTTTGTGGTTTATTGATGCAACATACACCTATGGTCATATGAAATGGCCATCTTTCATACTGATTGCTGCTAGTTGCTGTCAGGGATGATAAACCCTTGGCTTGAAGCCAGACATAGATTCCATCCAACACTTGTTGTGAGGCAAACATCCCAAACAAGTTCTACATTCTTGCCATACATTCTTTATATTGTCAACAGTTGGCTGACTTTAAGCATCTAATTCACCATGCAGAAATGATGCACAGTGACCTTGGGAACACAATCACAACAAACAAGTTATTTAAGACAGTCTGTCATACAGGCAGCTGGAACCTACAATCCTGCTTGCATCAGAGATTCAGATGCTAACGTCACAATCGCAGCCCCTGGCACACAACTGCATGACATGCTATTAAGTGTACACTGCTTGATGAAAAATGACCATTAGGCAGGTCTGCTATATTAAACTTGAAAAAGTAGGATCATATAAATGATCTATCATCTTTGAATGGCAAGGTTCAAACAATGTTAGCAAGAGAACAAACATCAAAGAACACTTTGCTATTATATAACACCCAGCAGAACTATTGCTTATATAAAAAATTGCTGCATCTACAACATTATCCTAATAATATTGTCAAGATACTTACAGGAAGCCTAACAAATGGCAGGGAACCTTGCTTGTTGACATCCTCCATTTCAGATGTTCTTTCATCAAATGTGTCTAGAGCAGTTCCATCTCTGTCACTGTCAGCTAGCCATCACCAATGCATGAAAGCCAGGTTCTCTGCAATGGGACATCACCACATATATGAACATAACAATAATAAACTAATTCATATGGAGCTCATGACAATTAGTTTCAAACCTAACTGAACTATAAAATTAAGCTCAATATCTGGAAGACAGATTTTCAATGCCACTTTATGGATCAGCAGATTTAAGAAAGCCTAAGGACAAAATATTCACTTCCTGAAGTCACCAAAACAGCATTACATGCTGGACCCGAGACAACCAATAGGTACCAATCCAGCAAAAATACATTTATGCCACTGGCAACATACAAGCCTGTTCTGAAAAAATCTGGTATGGACATAACCACCAAAGGAGAAAAAATTAGGTATGCTGTGAAACTGTTTTGCTCATCATCAGGCCTATTTCATAAAGCATTTCACATCACCAAAAGACTTAGTGACTAATATTGTTTCATCAGTGGGACAGGAAGGTTCAGCTATTTTTTCAGAAGCACAAAACAAGCTCAACCTGTGTATTCAACACGCAATACCAACAACTTTTAGACCACGATAGGCAAGCAGTTGCAAGCACACAGTACCAGTTCCCCAATCTGTACCAGCATTTTAGCTCCATGGTTTCATCTTTAATCATGATGGGGCGAGTTCTTCGCGTCCTTACAATGATCCGATTTCAATGCACACCATAGGTATCGCAGCAACTCACCGGGATACGGGACTAATATTTGTCCGAATTGCCAGATATGTCTAGGCCACTCGACACCCACGTCCACCCACGAACTCCGCCCTCCCACGTCTTTCGCTCCTGACCATCCAAAGCCTTTACAGTAAACAAGAACGACTACTGAATGATATACATTAACGGCGCAGTGTTTGCAATCACCCTACGCTGCCGTATTATCAGCTGTTAAATTAGATTTGGCCTTTTATCACTTAATAATTAACCGAGGCAGTTGCAATGAAGCCAATATCCATGCACACTACTAAAGAAAATAAGTTAAAATGGTCATAATAATGAATATTCGGTTACAATTACGAACCATGAGTGGAGTGTCCGCTTGCTAGTATGAACAGCCGGCCCCCACATTGAGACAATCAAGAAACATAGACTCGCTCTGAGAGTCATGGCAGCGTATGGGGTAATGTATGTCTGTGCAAAATTGCGGAAGCAACAATTAAAACTGAAGCCAGTTTTAAAGAGCTTTGCGAGATAAGGCCAGATGTCAACGATCCTGAAACGTCTTGTATTTTAACGTTCAATGACTTACCCGCATTAAAAATCCCCGCCGCAGACCTCCACGGCCGTTGCCTGCGCGGACGCTATGTCTTGCTCACACCGAGCGATGGTAGCCCCGCTATCTTCCTGTCTAACTGGCGTTCTAGAACTCTACCGGATCGCTGTACCTGGCGCTCGTGGGAAAAGTTCCAAAGGGTTTACCCGCCGCTGTACCGGATTCCGTGTTGAGCGTCGGGGCGCGGTATCTGATACGGCCGTGGGGTGGACGTCGGCCTACTCGGTACCGCGGCGATGTTGCTACGGGTTAGCAGGCGTGTATGTGGCGCCGACGTACAAGTCGCTGCCGAATCTGCACCGTGCGAGGTGTGACATGGCGCCCTCCTCACAATGCCGCAACACTCCTTGATTGAACATATTAATCAATCACCCGAACGCTTTGCTGCAGCGGATCTATCGTACTTTAAGGGGACTGTTCCACATTTGCATGATTTTTTAACTGAAATAGGCATCTTGAAGATCATTCGGTGCGGGACTGCGGGACCAGGACTGCTGCTGGGCCTGGGTCTGGGACAACGGCTGGGCCTGGGACCGGGACTGCGGCTGGGCCTCGGCCTGGGACTGCGGCTGGGCGTGGGCCTGGGAATGTGGCTAGGCTTGCGTCTAGGCTTGGGACTCCGGCTGGGCCTGGGCCTAGGACTGCGGCTGGGCCTGGGGTTGGGACCGCGGCTGGGCGTGGACCTGGGACTGTAATTGGGTGCGGGCCCGGAACTGCGGCTGGGCCTGGGTCTGGGACTGGGCTTGGCACTGGCACTGGCACTGGCACTGGCACTGGCACTGGCACTGGCACAGAGGCTGGGCTGGGGCTGGGACTGGGGTTGGGAATGAGACTGGGGCTGGCACTGAGGCTGGGCTGGGGCTGGGGCTGGGGCCTGAGCTTGACATAACATGGCCAGCAGCGGCAGACTCGGGCAGGGCAGGGTGCAGTCAGCCCCTGCCCAATCCGGGCAACATTTAACGTGACGACAGAACACTCGCGAAAGGAGCCAGTTACAACGCCCCTCCCTAGCCTCCACAAAGGGTTCGCCACAGCGGGCATAACATGACAGGGCAGAAGACAGGACCGGAGGGAACCGGGGGGAAGGAGGGGGAGGAAGCAACAGAACAATACAAATTAGGCAAGGATTGATTGGCAGATGGGGCAAGACGGAAATGCACAGCGTACGAGAGCACAGGACAGGAGACAGCAGAATGGGACAGGGCGGAAGATCATGGCACAAGACAAGGGATCAGATGATAGCACAGGGCAGGAGACGACAGGAAGACTGGGCTGAGCGGAGGGATAACGGCTAAATGGGCTGAGCGCTGAGTGAGATAAGAAGGAGTTTGTCGTAAAAGATAGCTCTCAGGTACACACGACAGGTTCTAGAAATGACAAAACAGATCAAGAAGGAGACGACAGAGCGAAAGACAGCACGTCACAGCACCGGATAGCACAGAATGTGGCAGAGTCGAGAGGAACTTGTCAAAATGAAACAAGGTATAGCTGAAAGACCATTTCAAAAGATACTTCCTTCGCTCCTAACGCAATTACATGCATGCAACTCGTCCCTTGCACGTCTTTGCTTGGCTTAACGTCGTTTCCGTTCCATGCCGTTAGACTTGCTGGTCATTTTAAGGCGAACATATTGCATCCACACCTAACCAGCGTACGCGCACTGTCTGCATCGAGTGACATCACGAATGCGTGAGATCGCACCTTTTCAAATTTACAACAACGTGCGTACGAGGCCATGCCTCCTGGCAACAGAAACCTAAACAGGTGTGTTGCTTTTCAAATATGAGAATAATGGTATACAGCTTGGCATGTTTGGACCATATGTTTATGATGCATGCCTTCGTTAATGTAGCGATGTCGTCCCGCCCGAACGCGTTCCGCGGCACCGTCCCTTGCCGCCCCTCCCCCCCCCCCATCCCCGCCCCTCGTCTCCCAGCCGGTTCGCCACAGGTCACCGTGCAGTGTTCCCCCCAAAACCACCTTTGCTCCCAAATCACACGTGCTAGAGACGCCATTTTTGGCGTCAAAACACGCGCAATAGATACCCCATTTGTCAGAACGATACATTTAACCTGATAACGCTCACTCTGTGCTGACAAAGAGATCCGTGAATCTGCATTCAACTCCTATCATTCCGCTGGTCACGCGACATTCAAGGCCAATACAGATATATTTAAAGGGAATGCTCCACATTTGAAGATGGTGAAGCCAGCATCAGTTATGATGAAATAAGCTCACTTATACACAAATACACAATGGTATTCTCTGCAATGGAGAAGACTGCTATTAACAACACAATTTTCCGCTTTGGTAAGTACAAGCGTTTGCATGCTTGCTTCGCTGTGGTACTAAAACACGCAAAAAATGCAATTATGCATCTTTTTTTAATTTAAATCACGATTCTAGGTGCCTGGTTGCCGAGATATGGCGCGAAATGTGACAAAACGGCCGATAACGGCCAAACTGTCTTGCTGACTCGTGCATGCATGACACACAGCATGTGTGACATGCCAATTCAGACAGCGTAATTTTCTATTCGAGTGCTATCAACGCGTGCCACTGCCCGGTGGCTGAGTGCATTGGGTGCTGCAGTGCGTCACAACACCCTTAAACGTGTGAAAATACGAAATTCAATCTTTCTGGAGCTTGTGGGTGTGGCATGATACCTGTGGGTACGCCCACGTAAAACACACGACTGGCGATTCAATTCTTTATCGCGGCACACCAGTCCCGTGCGCCCATACGATGAGTGCCGAATTATGGCGTAAAACGTAAAAACTGACGAAATCAGCAAAGTAGATCTGCACAGCTAGCGTGCACCTGCAGCATCACATCTTACACCACGTGATTGCCCATTAAATTGCCTATCGAACCAGGACACTCCCGGGTCGCTTGGCACGTTAAGTGCCGCGATACCGGCAAAAAGTTTAACTCGTCGAAAATAGCCAAATTGATGTTTCGACACGCAGGCTTCATGACACGTGGCACATGTTCTTCCATTCCTTTTCGAAGCGTGCCACTCCCGAGGGTGTCCGTGTCCCGGATGCCGAGAATTGGCACGAAACGTGTAAACCCGTGGAAGAAAACAAAGCCCATCTTTGAGCGCGCGCCACATGACACGTGCGAGCGAAACATTTTGCATGTCACATGTTCTCGTGCCACTCCCGGGTCCCTCCGAGCCGCAGTTGTCAAGATAACGGTGCGAGGTAGCATAATCGGTTAAAGGCAGTTAGTTACAGCAGCCAGTCACTTGATCAAACGGCCGTTTAACCTTGAAGAGACCGCCTGCGTCGGCCGAGACACTGGACAGCACCGTTCCTTTGCGGCGTAAAAAGCCGCCACGCAACCCACTAGTATCAGGTCATTTGTGAGCGAATCATTGCAAAAGTATGACCAGCAAATGGGTGGTATAGAGGGGGAATGAATCGGCCAACACGCTACGCTGGTGTAGTTTTCAACGCTAAATTATGAATAGTTCTAATGGTGGCGGCTTGCATTCGGTGCCCGTTTTTAAAACTTGGTCGTTTGTAACTTGTATCGCAATTTACAACGCAACGGTGTGTCGCACAAACTCGCGATACGCCCTGAAAATGCAGATAAGTGGATGCTAGTGAGTGAATGCTACGAATCAAAATTCACGCATCAACCTGCACTGCGCGCAGACATATAGCTCATAACGTAAAAACCCGCCAAAACGGCCAGCTCCATATTTCCAGCAGGTGCGCACGTGCCACGTACCATGTGGTGCCTTAAACGCATACCATTCCGATGGCCTATTCTATTGTCTACCTGGCTGTGCAAGTTTCGTGCCGCTGCGATCCGTGATTATTGAGATATGGCTCCGGGAGTCGACGCGTAGTAGTACGGCAGTCGCGTAGTCCGGTAGTCGCGAAAGTTGCATCGTCGCCCGCGTTGGGGGCTTGGAGACCTTTTTTGTGCACAACACGCGCTCATTTTTGCGAAATGCAGAAATTTGAGGTCACACTGAAGAGCCCTGCCACCAGCTTTCGGTCGTGCGGAAATTTCATCAAAAATTCCTTGTCGTTTAGCTTGCGCATGATCTCAAAGAATCAGTGGCGGACACACGCACACATCGTTTCTCCAGTATAATAGTACATGTTTCTCAATGCGTCATTGCTTGATAAGGTTATCGCATATTGCACAACATTGATTGAGAACCAACTGACGGCCGTTTTATCTGTGCATCGTGCTTACGAACGCCAAGTATGAACGACTCGACAGCTATATTTTTCTTAGCCTTGATCGTCGCATGGCTATTGGAGTGGCAGGATTTGAATGACATTATTAAGGCGTCAAAAAATGGTTGCCCCGAAATAGCCTTCCCATCTTCGCAGGCATACAACTCAGGCAAACAGGCAAAGTAACAGTGGTTTGGGTCTTAACAGGGGCAGGACTGTGAACGGCACCGAAATAGACTTCAAGATGATTGATTATCTTGGCTCAAAACCCATACAAATGTGGAACACTCTTTAACAGGAGTATTCCACATTTACGTGGCGTTTCGAGCCGAAATGGTCATCAAAACCTTTCGATGCTGTTCATAATCCTGCCCTTCTAAACACCTAAGCCCCTCTAGCTTCCGAGCTGAACGTCCGCGAAAATTGGGAAAGGTATATGGGGGGAGAGTATTTCAAGGTCACCTTGGCATTCATGACGTCATAATGACGTCATTCAATTCCTGCCATTCCATAACCCATAAGGCGATCAAAGCCAAGGCAAATATAATTGTCAGGGCGTTTATACCTGGCGTTCATGACCGCGATTTCCAGATACAACGGCCGCCTTGCCCGGTTTGCCCCGCCCCGGCTCTCAATCAATGTTGTGCACGGTGCGATGACGTAATGAAACCATGACGTATTGGGGAGAGTGCTTGCTCGAGAAGAATTATGCAGTCCAGAACGGTCTTTTACACTTTAAACGTATACGAATGGTTACAAGTAAGCTTGCTTGATCATGCCTGATGCTAAGTTATATATCTTTCAATGCGAAACATTCCCTTTAATGGTTCGTTCACATCTGGTGTTTGTCAGGACAATTTTCAGGCATCACGACCGTCGATTGGCTACCAATCAAGGCTGGGCGAGCTATGCAATCTGCTATCATAATTGGTTATTTGAATAAGAGTCCTTTCCACCAGAAGTGATCATTTCAGGGCTATGGAATGAAAGAGAATGGCTAACGGCGGAACAGGACTGTATGCGCCTAGGGGGGGGGGGGGGGGGCGACAACCGCCGAGCTTCAGCCCACGCAGGGACTCCTCGGAATGTGCGCTGGGCACACGGTCGGGGCCCCCTTCCCAAGGGGCCTCTCGGCCACTCTGGGCTGACGTATGCAGCCTGCTCTGGACAAGCGGGCGTCGCGAGGATTCAGGATAAAGCAAGAAAGAGGATAATTGGGTACGATGATCTCATGTGAATTACAATTTGTGCCACACAATACAAACGGTTGAACATTCTTCCCAGATATAACAAAAATAAAGTTTGAAATCGCTAACTTAAAGGGAGCGTTCCACATTTATATGGGGCTGTCAACTGAAATAGCCATCTTGAAGACCTTTATTTTCTGAGCTATACGCCCGGGAAAATGGGAACAGGTATGCCAGGGAGAGTATTTCAGTCGCTTTGGCATCCATGACGTCAAAATAACGCTATTTATGTCCTGCCATTTCATAAGCCACGTGGCAATGAAGGCCAAAAACGTAATTACTGGTTTATCTCTGCCGTTCGTGAATACGATTTCTAGAGATAGTTGCCGCCAATAGGCTCTCCATCAATGCTGTGCAAGGTATGGTGACGCAAGCAAATCATGACACATTGAGGAGCATGTTGACAAAACATAGAACTGTATTGCCTAGAACAGTCTTTTCCACTTAAATGTACACCAATAGGGTAACATGGGAGCTTGCTTCATGTCTGATGCTTGCTTCAATATCTTGAAATGTGAAAGTCGTTTTAAGAAAAGCACTTTAACAGAGAATGCAAATACAAGTAAACACCTTAAACTCACGGACAGACATGCACGAACATCCCGAGAAAGTGCTTAGACGCGGGCGCCTCACGATATTTGGTTTTACACACGTTCAGGATAACTCCAGCCACCTATCGGGGGACTGAAGTACTACAAATAAGTGCTGTCATACGAAACATGCATGGCGTAATCAAACAATGACGTATCGAGGAGCATGTTTAGTAAAAAGTTCATTTTGTTGTCTACAGCAGTCCTTTGCACTTACAAGTATGCCAATATTTTTCAGTGAGCTCATTTCATTATATCCGATGTGTGCTTCAGGATCCTCAAAAGCGAAATAAACGGAACGCTTCGTTTATTGATATCAAGGCAAGCATCGGATATGCCATAGTAGCTGACTTGTCCCTATTGGCGAGCTTTGAAGCGCGAAAAAGCGCTCTAGACAACAACATTTTACCGTTGAGTAGCCATGTTCTGCAATGCGTTTTCGTTTGCCATGGGGCGTTTTTATGACGTCAGAGTTGCTGCAAGACTGGTGTCAGAATTGCCACCGAAACGGACGAACCTTGACGAGGCAAGACTTGGAGCCTTGAAAGGGCATGATTGCGGGCTGCACAGAATGGTCATGCAAATGACTTTCTCAGTTCAAAGCCCCATACAATGTAAGTCCATTTAAATTTGACTTTCAATTTAGGTGCATTTCATTGTCAATCCAGATGACTCAGCTGACCTGAGCTGGTTCACGATCCACCCATCCGAGGCGGGGCGGGTTCGGGTCGCTTTAGGCGCTCGCCATTTGGTCTCGGCAAGTGTGACCTACGGCCGGCGGACGTGCTTAAGATTCAGTGACGTCAGAGGGCAGGACGGACCGGCCCCGACATCCGGCACGTTAAAATCTCACCACACACTTATGTCATCTGTCAGGAATTAAGCGATCGCATGGTACGGGCCACGGTCGAAAAACCCACCGCTTAACGCGAGCTCCGATCCCACCAATCCATCCATTCAAAAGGTTTGAATTAAATTTCTAAAATACGTACTCCCATCCGATGAGCAGCTCCATGGCAGACCGCTACTGAAAGTTTCAAGATGATGCCGCCATCGGTTCTACGACGTGTGTTGGAGGAGCTCAGGTGTACCTTTTCTTCCGTTCCCACTACAGCGTAGACTTAAACACGGCTGGCGTCTGCCTCCATTATATTACGGTAGGTGGTACCAGTATCCGGATACAATGGACCCGCCAACAGCTACCATTCATCACCGGCTGCCTGCCAGGTCAGCATGCCCTCATGGGCGCGGAGGACCCGCTTCGGGCCGACGTCCTCATCACAAAGCGAAGTCACATGACCCTGATTGCCGCGCCAGCTGCTGTGCCTTGGGAGGACTGTGACCTTGCGAGTCTCGGGCGTGAGGACTGAAGGCGGACCGCCGCCTGATCCCGGTGTGCTTTGTCTGACTTTTACCCGCACCGGTCCGCTGGTGGTCTTTCCGACCGGGGTAGCGCCAATGGCCAGCAGCCGGTCCACCTCCCGCAGCTTGGCATCCACCTGCCTCAGCACGTCGTCCGTGGTGGAGGTCACGCGCGCGGACTGTTCAGCGTACTTCGCCAGAACGCGCTGCTGGTACGCACTGAGGCTGTCTGGTTGCTCGATGGCCGGCGGCGGCGAGTCTGGTGTGTCAGGAAGACGGATGTCCGGACTCTGAGGACAGCTGTCCTGTTGCCCCAGCTGAGCGACCATCTCAGGGACCAGGAGACACACCAAGTGGATATGTTTGCATACTAGTTTCTGGTCCACCCAGTCGGAGCACTCGCAACGGAACTGATGCGCGCAGACGCCACACTCCCGGCACCGCCGGTCGCAGCCGGGGTCGGTGCAGCGCCGATGCTCCAGCTCCACAGTGTGGGCTGGCGTCGTGGCGGTGCTGGCCACCGTCCACACTGGCGGCAGGCTGCCCGGGACGGACAGAGCGCTGGGGCTGCCGGAAGCCACCAGAGCTGCCGCGGCGGTGTGCCGCTTGGCGATCTTTGTGCCGTCCGGGCTCGGGGTTTGCCACAATTGCCTGCGGCTCACCTTGACCATGCGGTCGGTGCCGATGTCGAGAAGAGCTGCGGTGCGCCTGAAATGCAGTGAAATATGATTTATCGCATCAAACAGGCAGCGGAAAGCATTTAATGGGAACGCATGTGACTTCTCTTCAATACGCTTCACTGAACTGTTCAAAACTAGCCCGGATCTTAATTTTTGTCTTGTAAGGCAAAAGTTCCCATCCAAACCAGTATTGATTCTCATCAATGCTTTTCTTTACAATTGGTGGAAAAGCAATTCGAAAAGTGAAACTGCACTGAGGGGATGCATTCCGGGACACACGAGGCTGGGAAAAATACGTGCTGAGTATACATGGGTAAACAATACCCGTATACAACGCACTTTATCATAATCCTTGTTGGGTGGACGCGAGTGTTGTAAATTCATTACACGTGCGTACAAGTGACGAACGATATACCTCATGAACCAGTTCCTTTTTGGTTCACATGATCAATTCACCAAAGCTGCTGTGCATATAATACGCCAGTCGATACCAAGAGTGCTGAAGCGGCTCTGAAATCCCCGCGAACTATACGCGGTTCGTAAAAACCAAACTACGCACTGCCGTACTGACGCACGCAATAACGTAGGAACTAACGCACCTACTAACGTGCGTACTAACAAGGATCCGCACACTCGCGCCGTTTTTTCTTTCATAATAGAGTGCGACGCGTCGTCGCACACCCTGATCTGAAGCGCCAGTGAATGTGTAGGCCACGTCGGCGCTCGGGGCCAAAGTGAAACCAAAATTTGAACCCGAGCTCTTACGTGACAACCGGACGCTCTTACCACTCGGCTACCGCGCCATCACACATTGCCACGGAATAACCCGTCGCAGACAGCAAACCGTAATATGTATTAGAACCCGTTACGCAACTTAACCACTGCATTACCGGCGCCCCCAAAAGCCTGGCCAAGGTGTCCATGTGCCATTATACTATAAGGAAAACCAAAAATAATCATAAACGTTTCACGTTGTTGCGTTGCAGCGGGGCTGCAGAGAGCAGCGACGTCCCGACCGTGTTCCGGGCTGGCCTACACGCCTTAAAACCCGCTGACGCCACCGCTTGTACCGATGAACAAAACCAAACTCACTGCATGTGGACTGTGCTGTGTGTAAGGGGATGAGGGTGATGTTTCAAATGCTGCTTACTCGTCAACCCTCTTGTTCATCTTTCCGTTGAGGTGCTGGTATTTAAGGACCCGTTGAAAAGCTTTCACATGGATATTCGTAGAGATGCCACCAGAGGTCCGAAGTCCCAATGCCGTCTTGCGGGTGCAGCCGCCCCTGGTGTCGCGCGGGTGCTCCCCAAGGCTCGCCGCCGTGACGCCGACCGACCGGCACATGTTATGCAAGTCCCGCCGCTGCAGCCAGTACGTCCGACTGGCGCTGGTGCCTGCCGCCACGTCTCTTCCGAACGTCTCCCGCACGTCCTTAATAATCCGCGACATTGGCACATCATTCAGCAGCTTTTCTGGAAGTGGAGACGGCAACGTTGGCGTTTGTTTCTGCATTCATTCGCACATGAGTGTGAAGACAGTCGTTCGCTTTCAGTGAGGCCGACGGCTTACAACGTGCTGGCAATTTCAAGCGTTCCTAACCGCGACGTGCAATCGGGCATCCCAATGTGCTCGCATGTTAACACCTGAAACTTTGTGAGTTGCACTCGCGCAGGACACTAGTTATGTCCGAATAAAGTCAAAAGTCTGTGGCACTAGCCTGCGACACTCCAAACATACGTTTTCTCCGTTCTCACCTTTTATGGCAGCTTTATGTAGTTCGGGGATCCTGACATGCGGTATGTTACTCATGTCGGTGGGGTGACCGTAATGGAACGGATGCACCTTCACAAGCACCGTGCCGTCCTCCCGGGTAGTCGCCACGACGTCCGACGTGCAGCGGCAGCCCAGCTTGCACGTGCCCTGCGACTTGAGCCGTCTCTTCCCGGTTCCTGCCGGTGCGTACACGCCGGACCGGGAGCACAAGTAGCGGGCCGTTGTACCGCTCCGGGGTCGGCTGGAGGCGATGTTGTACACCACCCCATTGGCTGCCTCGTACTGGGCCTTCCAAGCCTGAAATTCTGAAACATGGTGATTTCTTCAGCATGCCTTTTAAAAACTAAGCCGCGCGTGGGCTTTCAAACACCGGCCAGATCTTTGAAATGACGAACATACATATATGTTGGGCTAAATATCACAATAAATTCAACATGGATTGTTTGTCACAAATGTTGGAGATGACAATGACTGTGGTTCCTGTATGCTAAAATACAATTTCGAACGCCTTATGCAGAAGGCAGATAATCTTGCATGGTACAATGGAGTAGGAATGTTTGTAACCAACATCAAATCTACCACAAACAAAATCTTCTTACGACAAATCTATCCCTGATTACGTCATATGCCACACACCGCCGTCAATCAACGATAATGGGTGAAGGGATGTGAACGTTTTCGCAAAGCAACATGGCTTAGATGTCATAAACAAGGAATGACGAGAAAATGCCTATGACAGCATAGCACATCTAAACTGGAAATACATTCCGCAAGCTAGCACGCTCTACCAACTTATGCTAATTTCGCTGTGATATACAACGTTGGACTGATTAACCAATATGATCAGCAAAGCTATAACTGCACACTGTTAGAGTTTTGACGACATTTCTTACGCAACGATGGTAACGCAACGGAAGGACCGGCGATCGCGTTCAGCGAGGGCATCCAGCTGACGTAGACGATGAACATTACTGTCGGTGGATGCGGCGAGCACATCTTACTGTTTTAAGGTTTCAAAAATATGCAAACAAAAATATTCCATCAGCTATGTCTTGGGTACACAACGCAGGTGAACCGATCATAAGCCCACATCAAAGCGACAAGACGCTACGGATATGCAGTTTGTATGTTGTTCACGTACCATCCACGGAACTAAACTCCTCTGTCAGCGAGTGGGTCGCCGCATCAATTCCATGCCGTTTGGCGAGATGCTCTCTGAGACCGATCACCGACCAGAAGGTTTCCGTGCAAGGCTCCCCGTCCGAAACCTCCTTGCATATCTGCAGACAATAGCGTGCCGCATGTTAAATGAATCAGGAAATCTGAGATGTCCTTGTCTGTACGTCCAATACAGCAGACTGGTACTTACAAATAAATGGCATGAAAATCGCTCCCAACAGCAAGACTATACTGTGGTAGCGAGGCAAAATCCTTGAGTCATATCGCTGTTCATTAAACATATTTTTACTATCAAGGTACCAGGCCGACAGCATTACGAAAACAGCTCAAAAATTTGCCGCGACGAGTGACACGGCTTGGCCCAGTAGCACTACTATCTAGAAGGTTTCATCTTTCCCAGCACTGATCAAAGGATACTGCAGTTTTCAGCATAGAAAATCGGAACCCTCGTAAATTGTGCTGTATCAGTGCTAAGATGTTTACTATCCCCTGCTTGTGTTCAAATGATCTTGCAACGCTGTAATGCGAACAAAAACAGCTTCTTCTCTTTGAAACAAGGAAAAGTAGCTTTACAATGCTTAACAAGCCGCGAAACACGATTGGCGACCAGGCCCAGACCAGGACAGCGCGCAGCACTGACACGAGACGCGCGCAGCTGGACGGCGGGAGGTCAGAGGTGAATTGGAAAACGTAAGTTGACGTGTGCGGCCGGGCCCCAGTGCTCGAGCGCAACCCTTGGATCCGCGCCCTGTGGGCAGGGCCTTACCAAGCACTCAACAGCTATGGTTAGTTATGTCATTGGGGCTTTACGACGCACTCAGCTGCTGAGGCTATATGGCGTCGCCTGCCTCTCACCCTGGCAGAAAGGGCGGACACCGCGGGGAATCGAACCCCGTACCTCTGGTTTCCCAGACGCGCAGTGGTTGACGCAGGCGCCTTAACCACTACACTACCGGCACCCCGCTACGGTTAATTAGCATCGACGTCACCCAAGCCGATTGCCGAGGGCGACGGAACGGTTAGCCGGAGCCAGGCGGCAGCAACTCCGAGGCGCTTGGTCGTGAGACAAACGCTCGCTTACTGAGCTAAACCATCCACCATCCCCCTGAGTCGTGGGCATTACACTTTTAAATGGTTTATGTCTGAGAATCTCGGCAAGCCAGGCAGGCTGCACTACTGGCAGCCGTTGCCAGACTTGACACCGCCGGGCCGACCAGAGTCGACACACGCCCGCAACGCTGTGTGGCGACGAGTCAAGAACAACTCGCAGCGACAGCGGGCTCACAAGGCCAGCCGGTCTTCAGCGGCGGAGAGCACCCGCGGAGTCCGGCCGGAGGACAGCTCCGGCCGGGCGTGAGGCGCAGGCCGTAGACCGAAGTCGACGACTCCACGCGCGACAGACAAGGCCTGTTGGTGGGACAAAACCCGGACGGAGGTGGCCCGGCGGAGCGCCGAGGTCCGCATCCACAGGCTCCGCTGTCAGCCACAGAGCGGCATTGATCTGCTCGGAACGAGCAGCGCCCCGAGGCACACGCGGCCTGAGACGCGAACAGCGCGCCGCCCAACTGACTCTGCTGCCGAAGGCAAACATATATGCTGTACGTACGTTTTTCGAGACTAACTGATACTTGATACTAACTGAAAGGTTGAACAAAAAATGGATGGACTATACGTGATCGACTTCAATTGAATCTAACTTATCAATTAACATAATTAATAAATTAATCACTTCAACTGAATGCTTTAAAATCGTGTAAGACGGTGGGAAGCCATCGACCAACGATGCATCAGCAGATGCACTGCATGCAAATGGTCTGAAGAGGCGATCATCAGTTGCCAATACATAGCTCATGAGAAACATAACTGGCAGGGCTGTGTTCTCAACTTAAGAGATTGCTGAGGACAAAGGCGGCTCTCAACCACACTACAATGCGCCCAAACCATTCTACCTGACCAAAACGCCTGGGAAACCGCTCACAGATCTCGCTATAAAATGCGCTACTTGAACCATTCACACCTGCTATCAGCGGCGTCATGACAAAAGCTCTCGACGACAGTTTTCATCAATAGCGCCGTACTCGGTCACTCGCTTTAGGAAACGTTGAGTTACGATCTGATACGTGTGCCACACAGTCATGTCGCACGGGACTCACCGACCTGTACTGTTCCAGTCGTATCGTAAATCACAACGTACATACTGCTTGTCGACACACTTAATCAATCTGTCCTTACCACACACTGCATATCTAATATTTCATACGAGTTTATGGTCGATACGTCAGGTAGAGAGCCAGGCCACGTTAAGCTAAGCCCCAGGCACGAAAACACGAGTGAATTTGTTGGGCATGCAATTACATGATATACCACGCATCGAATATAGGCTATAGCACACAGAACGCAGGCCTATGCCACGAATCAAAATGCAGGCGGCCAGTTATAACGAGGTTTGAGCTTACCTGCTTATTACGAGCACTGTCTCGATGTGTTTTTGAACGGTGAACCCGCAGCGCCAGTTTCTCTCCCCGGTATTCACACTTGTCGCACTGCAGCTTCTGAAATAGTCACAAGCTTGAAGTACGAATGAATGGATTACCATTTGACGCTGCAGAGCATGTGCCAGAATGACGGACAGGTTTTTAAATAGCATGTGCATTGGCTGTGTGTTGGAAACACCTCGCATAGAGAGAAATATGCTCATATCGACACGACTTTCTGAAAAGCACCTGGTGTTTAAATGACAACGGCGGTACGTGCAATTATACCCCACGCCGACTTGTGCCATGATTATGTTTCGTAGGTTCAGAAAAAATGTTCAGTTTGCAATCGGAAACAATTTGTCGACCATTTACCGATAAAACATTGTAAAGAGCTGCGGAGAAATAACTTTGAGGGACCCAAATGATGTACACTTTACCAGGGATAACTTGCATTCAATGAGTCGGGCAGCATGCGACACCTTAGCAGTTTTTCCGCCGAGCCCCTGGGTTTTTCCTACTCCAGGCATGTTTGGCTGGGATCGGTTTTGGTGTTGATGGCTGGCTAACGGACCGTCTGGCCGACATAGGGCGATCCAGTCCGGCGCCAAATAATCGAGTAAGGTGTCTATGGCGCCAACTCATGTTAGACAAACACTTCAGTGGCCGGATGTCCAGCGCTCAGCTGACTGTGGTACGAGCACGGGCTTTTATTGCCACATAAACTTACACAACTAACGGCGCGGATATTGAAATTGCTACGAGGCAACACTGGTAACTTTCCAGATCGCCGAGTGATTTGTAGATGACTTGATTTCACGTCTTTGACTTATTTCTGGTCAGGTTGCTTTGCCTGGCCGTCTGCTTAGATCTGGTTGTTAAGACACCAAAAAAAGAAGATTGAAAACGCTATAAAACGGATGGGCTTAAGCACGGGGATCCGTGGCCAGCTAAATACAACGATGAACGCGTTTGGTGTTACCATTAACCATGTTCTGCTGCATCGTTACAGGTTAGCCTGGTGGCACTGCGACGTCAGGCTCTAAACATCTGGACATGGCCTTGAGCGGCGTTCAAATTTTCGCAATTCAGAAGACTTGCATCTCCTATGTGTTAATCGAAAGGGAGGAGAAATCGTAGCAGCAATGCAAACCAAGGCCGTGACTTATTCGACGACTTGCATGAAAATGCCTTGCCGATGTCGCAGCTGAGCTCTTAAAGACCTATGTCAGATGTTGCTGGGTGCTGCGTGGTGGGACGATCGGCAGGTGTAAGCTTATAACTGGAAACTGTTGACACGTATATATATATATATATATATATATATATATATATATATATATATATATAGCACGTAGCTGCCATAGCCAATTCAATTTTCCAGGACACATAGGCCGCGTTCGACCTGTCGTCAACACGTTTGCCAGCGCCAATCACGGCCCAGCATTCGCCCCACATCACGTCACGTGACCACAAAGTCATATGGCCTGCAACGTCACGCGCCAGCTGACGATGATGCCAGTTTTTGGTCAGCCTGTCAGCATGGGAAGAAGGTGTTACCAGATTAAAAAACCTCTTACAAGGAAGCGGGAGTTTGATTTGGTAGCTCTTGCGTGGCCGCGCGCGTAAGGTAATGTGGGGACACTAGTCTCTAGTTTGGCAGAAAGGCGACGTAAGATATATAAGGAGGGAATCGAAATGCCATGAGTAGCCATGAAAAGGTGACTGACAGTGATTGGTGTCGTGTGTGGTTATGTTCCCCAGTAAATTGATAGCGTTAACTAAACACTTAAAAAGGGAGAAGAAACGTAAGTTAACTGGAAATGACAAGTAGCGCTCAACATACAGGATGGGATGGAATAAATGATGGTAACACCGTAACAGAAGCCACACTTCCAAGCATCACTTCATAGGTAGTGCAGTGTGTCATGGTCGCCAGTAACCCGGAACGAGTGTGTGGTCCGAAGTAAAAGGTAAAGGAAGAAGGAAAAGTAAAGTTAAGAAACTCTCCCATCAGCCCAGACATCGAACGCTCCGGCAGCACGCGTGACGTCACGCATTCCAGCTGATAATCGCGCGGACGACAGATCGAGCAGGACCATAGTGCCACATACACCGAACAGGCCAAAATTACCTGTTCATCATTAAAGCGATCTTTGTGTTTTCTTGCACGGTGCACCCCCAGCGCCAGTTTCGTTCCTCGGAAGTCGCACTGGTCGCACTGCAGTTTCTGAAATGGATGATAACTTTGAATGGAATGCTCCACATTTTAAGATATGCCGGCAAGGATCAGATGTGATGAAACAAGCTCACTTATAACAATTGATATACTTCTTAGGTGGAAAAGACTGCTCTACACGCATCATTCTCTTTAAAGTAATCTACTCCTAGATGCACCATTGTTTGATAATGTCACTGCAACATGTCATGACATGCACAACATGTCATTGTACTCTGCTGCCAGTTGACAGTCGTTAAATCTGGAAATCGCGCTCACGAACGCCAGATATGAACGACCCAAAAATTATATTTTTCCTGGCCCTGATCGCCGAATGGCTTATAAAATGGCAAGATTTAACTGACGGCATTATAAAGTCATGAATGTCAAGCTGACTGAAATACTGTCCACCCCTATACATTCCCTTTCGCGGGCGTGCAGCTCAGAAACTAGAGGGGCTCAGGCCTTGAAAAGGACAGGATGGTGAACAGCACAAAAAGGTCTTCAAGATGGCCATTTTCATTCAAAACCCCGTCCGGAAATCGTGCTCACGAGCGCGGGATATATAAACTCAAGCATCATTTTTTCTTGGTCTTGATCGCCACATGGGCTGTGGAATGGCGGGATTTGAAGTACGTTATTATGATGTCATGAATGCCAAGGTGTCCTTGAAATACCCTCCCCAAAAAAGCCTCCCCGTCTTCGCGGGCATGTAGCCCAGAAACTAGACAGGTTTAGGACTTCTGAGGGACAGGGCAGTAAAGTGCACTGAAATGTCTTCAAGGAGAATGCTTCAATTAACAACCCCATAGAAATATGTGACACTCCCTTTGATGAGAGCATAAGACCCTTGACAATATCTCAGCATCCTTTTGAATTAATCCCGATTTTTAAGGCAATCTGGCTCATTGCCTGCACATATAAAGTATCAATAACAACAATGAGAGCCATACTGGAATAGACACATGGCTTCCTGAAGCTCATCAACTTTTTTTCTCACATGTGAACAGCATGTGTTAAGTGACTGACAGATTGGCAGAGGCAAATTCATAAAGATATCCAAATGAAATGGTTCGTGCACAGCTCTCCCGTCAAGTTGCAATACCTCTGCAAGCTGAAAGTTTTGTTCCCACAAGTTTCAACTTTTTTTTTTATCAATCTCACTTTGAAAGCAATCTGGCCTATGGCCCCTGCACATAAAGCATCAATGACAAAGAATGGGAGCAAACACTAGTCAAGACACATTTTGTCTGTGCCCAACACATACTTCCCCATTTTTTAAGATTCCAAACTTTTTTGAAACCTTAGTCACTGGACCAACAGCATGACAACCTATGGTGTGTAGGCTTGCTAAATACATAACTAACATAACAGCTAGCTGCTCCTGACTTTATCATAGTCAGTATTTCAAAACCTGCATGCCATGTTTTGGATATTAAGAATCATCCAAGTGTAGATAAACTTATGTCATATGGCCTGACATATCCAACAGGTTTCTCACTACATTGTCTTGTGCAACAACTTCTGCCCAGGACAATACATACATGACAATATCACACACACTGGCACTATGTAACAAAATAAGTACCTGAAGCTTGGCATGCTGCTCCTTTTCATGCTGGTTTAAATCTTTATTTGAGCAGAACCAGGCTTCACAGTTTGGACAGGTGTATACCTAGAATGAAACATTGCAGCTTAGCATGTTACTGTTGGTTGAATGACCAGCACCATAAACAGGGTTCTTACTCCTGCAACATGAGTGAAATCACAAGGTTTCATCCAGTAAAGATTAGCTGAGCATTCCCTCGTATGAATGATCATGTACTTTGGTCTTAGAGCAAAATATGTCAACGACGTAAGCATCACATCAAAGCACAGCCATGTAAAACAGCGATTTACACTTACATATTCGGTTAGTATCTCTTGCCCGTCATTACCCATGATAGAAACAAACTCTCCCAATCGCACCTTTCAGTGCATGAACGAGTTTAGATCATACAATTACAAATCATTATCGTCCAACGTCCAATGCTTGAATGGGTTAATAACACCGTCACACAAATTCTCACTTCACCCGAAACTATTACGCTACTTTTAATACCCTTGGCTCGGTTAATGCAAGGCCACATAAAGAGAACCAAACTGGCCGGCCATTCTCGCTTCATCTTCTGGCGTGACGTAACTGGTGCCGGGACTTGAATGCGCGGCGGGCCGAGAGGCACCGCACGTGATGATAAGAGGCAACACAAGCATCGAAATATTCGGACAGATAATGCAAAAGCCGTTATCGGAGGTACATATAAGCAGCCAGCCGCTTGCATATATTTTACAACGAACGTGATGCTGTGCTTCGCAAACCTATGCGGCAAACCACCAGAATGCATTCAGACGTACACACGATACTTATTGGCCATGGGCAGTAGGAACATCGGGCTGTCTTCGTATCGATAACAAACCAACTGTTTATGGAATGTGTATACGAGCAGTGAGCCGACTGAGCAAAATTTAGCAACGAGTCTGATGATGCACGTGGCAACCTTAAGCGGCAGGCCATAATACTTTTCGAGCTTGCATCGCGCCGCACCCCGTAGTCGTCCCGCCGCCGTTGGTGCGAGTGAGTGGCGAGCGTGACGAGTCTGTTGTTTACTGCAGCATTTTTGTTTTGCACTAGATGTACCGGAAGCAACGTGCTCGGTCCATGTCTATCTATATTCCGCCGTGATCGGTATGTACCTGTCTAATGAGCCGGCTGTGTTTGGTCTGTACCGGTCTACATTCCGCATACTCGGTCTGCCTGTCTGCGAGGCCGGGCGTGCTCGGCCCAAGCCTGTGCGCAAGGCCGACAATGCACGGTCCCTATCCGGCTGCTTATTCGCCGTGAGTGTTGAGACACATATGTCGCGTCCTTAGGACGCCGACATGCGTTGCTGTGTTTAACGTGTCAAAGTGGCATGCGGGTGAAATCATGGATAGCCAAACCGTAGTGCAGAACACGACATGTAGATGTGATACCAGGATGTCAAAACAAAAAATGGACAGCACGTCTAAACAAACAAAAGGCAGCGCGCATGCTTGTATGAATCTGGCTCATGGCATCGGTCGGATCCTGGCTGCGTTTGGCATTGGTCATCACTATCTCAGTCTTCCGCGGCAACATTCGTGCCTCATAACAAAGGATGGGCTTTCCATGCTCCTTGCACAGCTCCCTACACTTCCCCGTAAGACCGTGCTACTTAACCATGTAACAACTAATTTATGACCGGTGCTCAGCGCAGAATGCTAGCCGGCTCCCGCATAGAAACAGGGGCAGCGGAAGTTCTCCTGAATTGGGGGTGTGGACATAACCAAGGTGGTTGCTTTTTCGAGTGAGGCTGCCCATGGCTGAATGCTAAAATTCAAGACAGTTGGAGCTCATCTCCCTCCCTGGAGCCTGCACCCCTGCGTAGGCGTATTCACTTCTTACGCCGATTTAATTTTAATGATTTTGCTGAGTAAAGCTTACAAAGCACATATTCATGCTTGCCAATTAACTTGGTCTGATCAGTTTGCAGGTATACACACCTGCCAGCAATAATCCCCTTTCACTGGTAAAGAGGCGGCTCGATATTAAGGCTGCATATCTCCAACAGCCAACGCGTGCACATTTTCGCTTTTTATGCTGATAGAGTTTCAACCGCTTGACATATACACCTGCAATAAGCACACCATCATGCTCCCATTATATACTAAGCATTGCCCCCCCCCCTACCCCGGTGATATGCATCTGACCCCCAACAGTTTATTCATTATTGGCACCAAGGCAGTTCGATATCCTGGCCGCCCATGTCTGCAGCAGTTCTCGCATCAGGATTTGCAATGTCGACACCAATTTCAGTTGTTCGGTCTTCAGTTGCTGGCTGAGCAAGCTGATATTGGCCACATAATGGGGCTCCCTTGAACTATGTGCAATATTTCAGCTGTGTGGAAATTTGTGGGGCAGCGTATAGACATTCGTAGCTTAGCAAAAATAATCCGTCCCATGGCTTTCAAAAACGTGGTAGAAGGACTTTTATCATCAAGTTTCGGCACAAAAATTGATTATTTTGCACTGACGAAACCGACCATTATTTGGCAACAGCGCTTTCAATTCGTAGTGGATCCATAACGTACCCAGAAATGATGCCGATCCTAAGCCGCTTCAGGAGGCTGCGGGAAGGCAAATATTTTAAGACGGATTTGATGCCGATCAGCCCCTTTGGCTCGGAGCATGGAGTTGTCCGCAAACTAATCTCATTAGGTTTCGGCCGCATTTGGTGACTTGACCTGACCCAAGGTCACCATGTCCTGGGAAGGACAGGGTGTCGACTACGGCACATCGATTTATGCAGGTTTTGTGCCAATCGGTCCAATACGCTCAGGGGATGGGGTTAAGCTAACTTATAAACTAAGTTCACGTAGATTCGGGCCTATTTGGGTGATTTTTCATTTAACTCAACCATGTCCCAGATAGGCTCTCATATCGATAATAGCTTCTAATTTTTTCCATGATGCTTCGATTGGTAAAGGGTTCATGCAGACTGACTCTGTAGACTGGGAGCACGGGGTTGTCTGCAACATAATTTCATGTAAATTCGGCAATTTTTGGTAACCCTTGACCTGCCCAATCATCATGTCCTGGAAAACAGGTCTTGTCGGCGGTTTAGTCCCTCTCCGAGTCACGGCCCGCAGTTCTGCGATCAGAAAACACTGCGGCACTGGTCAGCGTGGCGTGAGCGCTCGAGGTCACCACCGTTGTGCGTAGCGCACTAACATTAACTAAGTCACTTCTAGCCTAGGTTCATTGTACTTCACGGAGGAGCCGCGAGTGGCCTGACTATCGTGGGAGCACGCTGCAGTGAAAGAGCGAGGAGGCGGGGCTGGCCTGTTGCCGTCGGGAAAGATATGCAAGGTATGAGGAAACCATTCACCAAATGAAAGCTCTAAGTGATGAAGCTATCTCAGGCAGCACGTATCATAACTTATTAAAGGTAAAGCAGGCAAAGTTGACAGTATGATCGGTAATGGAACCATACAGTGTACCGAGTACGGTGCCATCTAGCGATGCCGGAGGCAGACACGTTTGCAGTGACGCCGCTGATAGTGCTGATAGCGCCACCTACGATGGGGGCGCCGCATGCGGTGTGACGGGATGCCAAATATGAAAGACGAGGGCCTTGCGATCCGGAACACCAGAAAGGCAAAAAAGTCGTCAGGTGCTTTAGGAATAATCCATATGGGCCAGCTGAATTTGCAGCTTTTATATGACTTGCTATCCAAGGACAACTTGGACAATGATGTATGGATATTGGATAATGATATGGATAAGCGGACGAATGTATGGATATCCCCGACGAATTACGCTGCTGGTCAGGTGCGGGACAAATACGGGACAACGAGAGTTCGCAGGGTTTTCCAAGGAAAATGAAGCCCATCAATCCTCAAAACGTCCCTAAGTTGGTGGACTGACGGTCTGCGCACGAGGGCGCGACACCACCTGTACTCATTGACCGCTGCGTCTTTCCACGCGATGGTCCGTTTTCTGATCCGTCAGAACACGTTAGCCCCGGGCCACCACAACACCCACTCGTTGAGATCCGGGTTAAGTTCTTATCCGTGTTTTGCAGCTTTTGAGAATAATTTTTGCATGCTTATCGAGCGGCTTATATCAAATCGCTGTCGCATCGCAATGCTGCAGGGCAAACTGGTCTCGCTAGACAGGTTACTCGACAATAAACAACAATTTATGCAGCTCAGGTTGTAATGAATCTGATATTTTTGTTGAAAACCGCTTGAGCCTATTGTTATTGGTCCTAAAAAGGAGCGCCTAAGCTTTTAGAACGCATGACGGCCTGGACTATTCGAGCTGTTCAAGTCGAGACTTGTACCATAGTTCAAGTAAGACTTACGCTCCAACAACATCTTACTCGCAGCACCGTTTACGTTTTTGCTGAGTATTTGGTGGCTTCCCAATACCGTGTCTGGACGGGATGCGCTTAGAGACGTGGACCCCTAGTCACACGTGGTACTAAAGATAATTCATAGGACTGAAGGGACCAAAGGATGAAGCGGTCAAAAATGTCAGTATATCTGGTTTGGAATAATCCACCAATTACATCTCCGGCTTGAGCTAGTGCGACGGCAGGGGTGTCAACTTGAGTCACATTCATTTTAATTTGCATGCATTAACAACTAAACTGAAAAGTGCCGGTGGTGATAAGGCACTGGCATCTGCGCTACGTTAAAGGGAATGTTCTACATTTGAACATGTTGAAGCAATCATCATATATGATGACATAGGCTCACTTATAACAATCGTTATACTTAAGTGGAAAAGTTTGCTCTATGCAACACAATTTCTCTGTTTAGTTAGGATGCTCCTCAAGGCGCCATTATTTGATTGTACCATCACACCTTGCACAGCATCGATTGAGAGCCAATTGACGGCCGTTATGCCTGGAAGCCGTGCTAGCGAATGCTAGATATAGATGACTCGACAATGATATTTTGCTTGGCCTTGATCGCCGCATGACCAGTGAAATTGCAGGATTTGAATGACGTAATTATGGCGTCGTGGATGACTGGGTGACCTTGAGATAGTTTGCACATCGTCGTGGGCGTTTAGCTAAGAAACTAGAGGGGTTTAGGTCCTAACAAGCGCAAGGCTGTGAGCTGCACTAAATGATCTTTAAGATAGCTATTTTAGTTCAAAACCTCATACAAAGGAAAAATAAAGAACTCCCTTTAGGCTTGATGGGAGCCTTCCTAGAGATTTGTTCACTTCTGGCCCACCGCATTCACGACACTTTAATTTACAATTCAAACGAAGGTGAGAATATTACATATGTCAAATAGACGTCACTGTGCTTCGCAAATCAATCATTTGTCGCGCTGCTAAGGACCAAATGTTTATCTAGACTGCAAAATATTTCGTGATGTAAAAAACGTTAAACACACACCTTAAACATGCCTGACATTATCGAAATACCTCCTCACATGCAAAGCCTAACTAATGCTTTGCACACTAGAACCTTTACGAAGCTCCTACGGCTTTAGCATCGTCTGTTCAATGCGAAATATTTATGTAACGCGTTCGGCGTTCGTGGCTTATTTTGAACTTGATGTCACTGTATGTTCGCCATTATATTCGTCTGTTTAATCGCTATTTTATGCCTCTTTTTATTGGTAGTTTTTTGGTCTGAATATTTCACCTTACTTATACGTCTCTTTGATAGTCATTTTTCGCCTATTGATTCGTCATTGATTTGTTTCTTTGCCATGATTATTTGAAGAACTGATTTACCAAACATTTTGCCATTCAGTTGCCATATTTCGCATTTTTGCATTCAATTGAGTCACAATTAAACATACCTTTTGTACAATCAGCTATGTTCCGACTCGATGATGAAAGGTTTAACCTCGTTGGCGAAATGCCACAAGATAACTGACAACGCTTGGGATATTACTCCTCTCACTGAACTGGATATCCAAGGATAAGTGTTCAGAGACATTCTCTCTTAAGCTGTGCTCTTTACCTGCTCTTTGCCAAGCCTTTTTTTTACCTCATTTGTGAGATCCAGCGGTTTTGTTAAGATGAGACTAAATATCAACAAGAGCAAACGAGAGGTTACTGAAAGACATGTACCTTTCTAGCTGTGAGCGCTGATATCATACTAAATACTATCGCGCACCTCATGCCTGTGTTCGTGAATGTTGACGCACTTCTTGTCGAGAGCACGTTTGTAAATGTTCAGGTTGGGAGGACCAGTGATAAGGCCAAATGACATTGATTACCAACTTCCAGCACATCGCGGTGTACACACACAAGGACGCTGGGTACAATGTAACAAAATATGGCGGCCACAAAGATGGCGATGACAGTTAGAACATCGCACGTGGCGCAGCTTTCAAAAGATAACGGCAAGAGTGAGCCCCTTGTGGACAATCCCACGCCGAGCCAGCACATTCTCCTGGCAATACCCCTGACCACGCCGCCTCTCGTGGTTCAGCGCGCCGTTTACTGCCTCGTAACTTGGTCACGTGTTCAGCCCATTGTCACCGCAGTAAATGTGCCAAGTTCCGAAAGGAAAGGAAGGAAAGAAAAGGAAAGAATTCTTTTCTTCTAAGGAATTCTCTTCTAAGGAAAGAATTCGTTGGGAGTTCAACAGCAATGTTGCTAGCATCTTGCGTTTACTTTTTAGATTCCACCGTCGGTTTATTCACATTCGCGTTCTAGAGGACACAGCGCACAGTTACGAAACTGCACAGAGGTTCTCAAATAACTAGTCTGGAGAGATTAGTGATTCAACCACGAACAGATACTACAGACATCTAGTGCACACGCAATACACACATTACACGTTTGTCTCGAATTCATCGGCGCGACGCTACCTAGTACACACATGTGTGCACTTGTTTCGACGCTGCCTATATGCGTGCGCTTGTTTCGACACTGCCCATATGCGTGCACTTGTTTCGACACTGCCTATATGCGTGCACTGGTTTCGATGCTGCCAATATGCGCGCGCTGGTTTTGATGCTGCCTATATGCGTGCGCTAGTGTGCAAGCGCATGACTGAGCGAGGCCGTACTGCCTGCGCGGTCATCAAAGCGTGGTCAAATTACTTATCAATGAACTTGAAAGCATGCCAGAAGATAATTTGTCTTAAGAATCATGTAAAGCAATTCTTAGGTCTTGGCTAATTCGTCTTGTCACTTCTCTCGGAAACCTCTGAAACTCCACTGGTCGGACAAAGTATAACGCTGAATAAAAAAACGAATCGGCCAATCAAGGGGGCAGGCTCCCATTGACGTGCTTGGTAACAACCGGTGCGCATATTCTAGATGAGGGTTCGAAAACATTCGAGCTCAATAAGGGGATTTCCATGTCAGTTTGACGGGGGTGGACAGCAAGCTGAGTCGTTCATATGTAAATTATTTGCAGTCTGCAGGTATTGTCATTCAAGTGCAGTATTGTGCGTATAATTAGCAATGATCAGGCTGTGCGTGTTTAGGATGTTTGTTCTCGACGGCGTACTCAAGGGCTCTAGGATTTGTAGCACAACTGACCTGTTGCCCTGTCCAATTGTTTCGGCAAGCAAGAAAAGCACTTGTTGTTTCCTGCCTGCATAGTTCCTCAAAGTTGCGACTTAATTTGCTTACTACAGTAGATGGAAGCTTAACATCATACGTTATGTGTCGACCGTTCTATCTGGACACAACTTAAGTGAAACTATATTGACAAATCGCTGCCATTCTTTCTCTCCCTGCACACAACACTGAGTGTTACCATGCTCTTTGCAAGAAGTAAGTTATGCGCCATATAGATAGCCATATGACGAAAAGAGTACTGGAGCGGCACTTACAGCTTTTTGCGCTTGTGCGTATTGAGGAGCCCTGCGTTTATGGGTCACTCTGCCCTGTTTACCAAGATTGGTACCGTTGTCAACACTGCGAATGATGAAGTTGCATGCCGGATTTAATATTTGTACAAAATTAAGCCCTGTCGTCGATTACATGCACTCGGCTAAACCGATTGATAATCGAAGTGAGCTTGAACTGATTTTGTTATTTCCCAAATGTGTTCAGCTTGGTGAGAAATTCAAGTCAGTTCAAAAGCCAGAGCGAGCCGACACCAATGCACCATTAGTTATACAACTGGAACATTCTTGCGCCCGGGGATCACTGTCAATCGAGCTGCAATAAGGAATAAAAAAGTTACTCTTGAGGTACTTAATGCTGGTGAAGCACAGGCATCGGCCGGCGGCGACGTCCAGGCAAAAGACAGTGCGGATCAAGTCCAGCATCCTCACGTGGTGAAAGCACAATTTATGCGCTGACGTAAAGCTATGAAATTATCGTAGCGCTTCATCGGCACTGTGTTTTGTGTTTGGTCTGAATGGAGGTCGATGAGTCAGTATTCTACGGGGAGGTAAACGACGGTAACTAAACTCGCATCGCACATGTATAACTGGATTTCACGTATTCACCGTTTTCGGGCCTCTCCCAGACAACAAGTGCTATTATTTTGGACTGGGTTCTAGATCTGGCGGGAAAGCCTCGCGTCCAACGGCGTCACGGAGCCATCCGCGGAGGCGAGGGCCCTCTGATTGGACGGCACCGTTGCTGGCTCCGCCCCTTCCTGACGCAGCGCGCTGTCCGATTGTGCACGAGGGGCTTCCTCCGGGCCTTGGCTCTCGTTTCCACCTCTCTTCCTCGCGCCGACTACGCTCGGGACAGTCCGAACGGAACAACATAAGACGTTGGCCCAGCGATCGCCGGCTGCGTCGGTCACCACCGCAACTTCTTGGCCGAGGTGAGGCTTGCTGCACATGGTGCTTGCTTAGACGGAGGTCTGAGAGTTTTCTCCAGACAGCTTACAGCCAATTGAAACTTGTCTTTCAGGTCAAGAATGTGATGTTCGAAGGCACAATCTGGCTATCGCTTGTCAGCGCGTTGATGCCTCGGAGCTTGAAACCGATGTATACCTTTAGTTGCAAACTTGGAACATCATGCACTAACCGAATGGCTAACAGTATGTATGAACGTCTGCTCCTATGGGTCAGGGACTGTGCGTTTAAGGTGCGTTGGGGAATTTCGCGCGTGCGTGAAGTGGACCTTCCAGATTTTGTTGTGTCTGGAATATTTTCAGCTGTAATTGTGGAAAAGCAATAATCAAACGTGTTTCCCCCTTGTTTTAAAGTCTCTTTTTATGCAAATTTTGTGCAATTTAATTCATTTTTCTCCGCAATCCGCTTCTTTGGCAAAGCTCTTAAAAGTCACAACACGATTTATTTTAAAACCGGTTCCGTATTTGCCACGGCTGCTGCAATCCTCTCATTTGTTTTTCATTGAGAAAGTAAATAGTCATTTATATGAACATCCACGGCAGGAACGTGGGCAAAATTTTACAATGAGGATGGCACTGTTTACAAATCTTACCTAAAAATAAAAGCAAGCGCGCCGCAGGCGCATGCAATGTCTCCCGTTCCGTAAAAAAATAATGCATGCTCTCGTTCTGTTTTCATTTTTACCGGCCTGTCTGGCATTTGTAACTGTCAACATGAAGTCACGTACATATTCTTGCATGCCATAAAGTTGATAAGCGGAGGGGCACGTGAACCGGGGGCTACCACATGCGTACACCCCTGATCTATGGGTGACGTTGCGTCAATAGGGGTTCATATATACCCGGGGAGCATTAGTAGCGGGTGAACAATTCCTCCCGTGAGAAACTTGTTCGGTCGCATCACGTTGACCAATTTCCAGTGTCCGAATTTTCCCTTACGCTAGATGTCTTGTGCTGGTCCAATTTCCCCTTGACGCGCTTTCTTCACCGCAGATGTAGACATTTCGGCTTTCTGGTTTTCTATACAAGCGCCATTAGACCAGACAGCTATACAAGCAAAACTGGTGTTTCTACATATTCACCTACAGATGACTTCAATCTCGACATTTTAGTAGGGCCCTTACCTGAATTTGCGGCACATCCATCACAAGAAAAGCGGGAAGTTGTTGATATCCAACAGCTCTCAGCCAACATGCCAGCGGCATTGTACCAAAGCTGGTAAAATCAGAAAGCTCCCTCAGATGTGTGGATCAGTCACTGAAACCGAAAACATGCCGTTCAAGCAGCGACTGAAGCCGTTGCTGAAGCAAATCTACGCCGGTCCACTCGGCACCCTCCGCGACATCTGTTGACGCACCCATGTACCAATGTCACAAGCCAGCGCACGCGATTTTCGATCTCACATAGCCGCGATGCACATGACGTAGGGTCGACTGTTCTTAGTGACTGATGTTCAGCGCGCGTGTTGGTGGAAAATACTGGCTTAGTGGGGATAGTTAGCATGTTTCTATCGTTGTTCCTCGAGATATGCTGTATCCATATATATGATATGCATATGAGATGTGGCGTGGGGTATGCAGACGTCCTTTCTCTCCCTTCGTGTTAATCATTTTCCATTGACACACATTGAAAACCATCATGCAGGCGTCTTCAAATGCCGCACCATATGCTGACTCTGTAAGGCTCAGGCCAAATTCTATTTTTGATTCCTCCCTAGGCGATTTTGAAAAGGCAGCCCAAGACGCAGCCGTTCTCAAAGAAGAATGGGAAGCATCAGTAGCATCTAGAGACTTGTTGCCCAAAAAGCAGACCAGATCAACAACATTGAGTAGAGACCAGAGGGAACAAACCAGAAGGAATGAATTACACTTCCACGGCTCGCCAGAAAACAGAGGCGTATATTTGTTGACGACCCGGACTAGATGCAGGTCGGACGGCCAGGATGACCCTGCAAAATAACTGTCAAATAAACATAGCATACGGAACAGACGAGCGACCATACAGCCGCATTTGGCGATCAAATTGATCGTCCGTTTCTCGTGAGGCTTAGCAGGTTGGTCAAGCGGAAAGAGGCGTCCACTTAACTCGGCAAGATCAAGATCTCCAACTCATCAGGGTGTCGTTCTTAGCAAGTGTTGTGTCCCCACAAAAACTTTGTCACAACAATGTTACAAAATGAAAACGATGGTGCGGTATACAGCCTCTGGGCACCAGCTTCTGGGGGGGGGGGGGGGGGGGGGGAAGACATGCGAACAATCGGATGTTGAGGAACGCAAATTATTTGACAAGTTATCCTGGAAACCGATGGTGTAGACGCACGACCAATGGACGAGCCCACAAGAACAGGGCCGACATACGAACAATCGGATGTTGAGAAAAGCAAATTATTTGACAAGTTATCCTGGAAAGCGATGGTGTAGACGCACGACCAATGGACGAGCCTACAAGAACAGAGCCGACATGCCGAGGACTGGAGGTGAAAATCCGTTTACGAACGGATCACGTCCCGTGCGACCATTATACTTCCAACTTGTTAATCATTTACGAAACCGTCATCGTCCACTCAAATGCAAATAACCCTAAAGTTTGGTACTGTTTGAAAACTCAGAATCAACTGTTGGGCATTGAAGTTTACATATCCGTCCTTTGTGGTCGTACATTACCTAGCACGTGCATTTAATCATGTGATCATTTAACTTTGCTCAGTGCAATCTCTCTTGAAACGTCATGTTGTGTTTTGAGATGCATGTAAAGCTTTTCCGTACGTTCTTCGGAATGTGTTTTTCAATCATACGAGCATATGTTGCTGCTGGTCGTAGACGTGACGTCAAAAGTCAAAGCTGCATAGAGTGTTGACCAGACGTGTGCTCGATCACAAAATAGTTCGGGGTCCTTTCACCTGATCCTACTTTCCTACTGAATCCGAGTTGCATATTCTTCCCGGTATTAGTATTCATTCTGAAATGTCAAATTACGGTGTCCAGAAGCATGTTAAAATTCCGCCAAAATATTTCTGGAATCTTTGTGGCGTTTATCACATAGCTGCTGAAGTCTACCTCATGGTTCTTGTTTGCTACGCCCCTGCCCTAACATAACTCTGGCCATGTCAAAATAAGCTTCCCTCCGCGCGCTGGATCACATGTTCTAGTAAGTTCATTGACTGTACTCGGATATTATGTGCCTTAGTAATAACTGAGGACCACAAATGTATGACTTGGAACACGATAAGCGGCATATCTCAGTTATCTTCAGCGCATCTGCTTGCTGACACTGGAAGCCTTTGCCTTGTGGCCATCGATCTCAGTGCCACATGACTCACATGACAATTTGTCCCACTAGTGAAGGCAAAAAATGCTACATGAAGCTCAACATAACAACAAAAAGCCTTACGAAAGCGGGAAAAATTACTTAAATCGAAAATTAGCGGAGAGTGCCAGATAATTTTGCAATGTCAGGATTAAAGGACAGGGTTGGGAATTGCATGGAACGATCGCCAGGAAGGCTATTTCAGTCGAAAACCACATACAAATGTGGAACACTCTCTTTAAAGGAAGTGTTCCACATTTAAATGGTGTTTTAATCTGAAATAGCCATCTTGAAAACCTTCCGGTGCTGTTCACAAGCCTGCCCTTCTTAAGCCACCTAGTTTCTGGGCTACATAACCCTCGAAAATGGGGAACATATATCAGGGAGAGTATTGCATTCACCGGGACATTCGTGACGCCATAATAACGTCATTCCAATCCTGTCATTCCCCAGGCCACGCGGCCATCAAGTCTAAGAAAAACAGCATTGTCGAGGCGTCCATATCTGGTGTTTGTGAGCTCAGCTTTCAGGTATAACGGCCGTCAATTGGCTCTCAATCGGTGTTTTGCAAGGTACGATGAAGTAATCAACTCGTGACGCACTGAGGAGAATGCTTACCAAGCAGAGAATTAGGCTGTTTAGAGCAGTCCTTTCCACTTAAAAAGCATACCAATAGTGAGATTGTTTCATCAAATCTGATGCTTGATGCACTATTTTCAAATGTGAAACATTCCTTTTAAACAAGCTACTTCGAATAACTGACGTTACGGACTGCCTTAGCACAGGATTTACAAATAACAAACATAGGACAAGTAATTGTCGAGGACTCTCTCCGACAGGTTAAAGGTCCGGCCCTCACACCAGTTTAGAAGGATCAGGCTGAGGTGTGTCTCTTTGTACTCGGTCATGAGTGGGGGGGGGGGGGGGCAATAGTGACTTAAGCCCACCAACGCTCATCTGAGGCCCCACTTCATACAAACAAAGAGGGAATACTGGGCCAACGCAATGCAGCACGCGACTGAACTGCTCTAACCCTAGTGACCTAATATATATTACCTAAAGCATCACTATCAATATCACCATCATATATCCTTATCATCGCCATCACATCAGCTTCACATGAAAATAATTTATCAACATCAAAACAAAGTCGGTACGGATGAACTATCATGTTTTTTATTTTGACTTTAGGACGCATATCAGAGTGGCGGAAAACAGGGGAGAAATGAGGATTTGTTTTTTTTATTTTATAATTTATCAACATCAAAACAAAGTCGGTACGGATGAACTATCATGTTTTTGATTTTGACCTTAGGACGCATATCAGAGTGGCGGAAAACAGGGGAGAAATGAGGATTTGGGGGTGGTTCAGACCGACCTTATTGGCTGAGCCCCCATTCGCGGGATTGTCGCAACGCCTTGTGTTCGTTACCACTAATGCCTCATAACACCTAATGTTCGAAAGACCCATTGTATCATAACCACTGACGTGTCATAACCTCCAATCCATCATAATACGCAAGGTATCATAAAGCCTGAAGCTCGTAACTTCTAACGCATCACAAAGCCTGATGTTCGTAGCCTCTAACATATCATAACCTCTTATGCATTACCACACCTAATGCATCGTAAGACCTACAATATCAAATCACCTAATGTTG